GAACTTTTTGGGGGTATCTTGTATTTTTCGTCGAAAAGCCCACTGTGGGGGGACAGGCCCGACATAAGCCTGATGGCCCGGGGTCCCTGCGGCGGCCCCCCGTGGCCGACGTCGGGAGAAGACGGCAGGATGGCCCAGCCGTGCGGCGCCCCGAGGTTTTCGGAGCGGCGTCCCTGGAAGTCTCGACCCATTCCCCAGGACCTGCGTTTCGTCCGGACTCGTTTCTTTGAAGGGGCCCCAGGACACACAAATAAATACACACAAATAAAAGGATTCCCCGTATTTTCCTATACTTTCTGGGGTTTCGTCCTCCCCCCCACGTCCCATATTTGCCTATCTTTTCCCGGGAGTCGACGATTACTTGCGTCTGTGTTTTTTTGTTCCCCTCCTGATTCTTGACGGTCCCGAGGCCCGGCGAGGGCCCCCCCGGGGCCGAAAATTGCCGAGGCCCTCCCGTCCGGATTTGCTTCCTTTCTTTATGACGCGATCGTGTCTGGCCCAGATGGTCTGGTACCGGAAATTTTCGGTAGCGATTTCGACGCACCCCGAATTTCGGTAGCGACCGGATCTTCGTTTGAGGGCATTGAAATAGCGGATTTCAGAACGGTCTGATACCGGTAATTGGGGCCTTACATTCGTATTGTCGTAACACCAGATCTCGCGGCGGAAGCGCTAACCGATTTTCGGTAGCGACCTTCTGGAGGGACCAAACATACTCATCGAAGATCTGAGCGTTCCCCCCACCTCGGCCTCCAGGGCTCGGGGCGAGTGCTGCTCCCCGCCCGCTCAAATGCAGGCCGCGGCTGCTGCAGAACAAAGGCAACAGAAAGAACCCGAGTACCGCCGTCGCATCAATGAGGTACGCAGAAAACGGGAGCGACACGATTATATATATATATAATATATTATATATATATATATATAATATATATTCATATATAATATATACATATTTATATCTATATATAATATCATATAATTATTGGCAGAGATTATAGGGCCGCAAGTTATGCCAGTTACAACAGTATGCTTTAAACAGGGTTTAAAGCGACGCCCTACCCACCACCTCCCCAGTGGCTCTCCTGGCGGCGCCTCGGGCTAGGTGGTGGGACCGTCCTGCACGTTGGGCCTCGCGGCGCAGTCGCTGATCTTCAGCGTCGAGCCTGGAGTCTTCCCTGGCAGGGAGAGGAGGGCAGTTGGCCACGACCCAGTCACGACACCTTGGGCGGCGTGAGTCAGAGAGGTGGGACAACAATCGGAGCCGCTCCTGGAAGTCAGTCTTGCAGCACGGGCACACCGACGATCCGACAAGGGTTCGGAGGACAGAACGCTCTCCGTGCTTGGCACGGCGGTGACTCCTCAAAGCACGTTCAGACGCAAAAGAGGTCTGGCATTGCTCACAAATCCACGCTTGGGGATGGACTGGGGACGAGGTCGGCGGGGGGGCTGGGTCACACGCCGATTCAACAAACTCGAGGCGACTGACAAGCACACTCCAAGACTTCTCATCCTGTAGAAGACCTTCCCACTTCCTCGGGTCCTCGAGTGGGGACGGAAAATCTGGGGGCATCACCGCGCGCTTCAGCAGCACGGCGCCCTCAAGCAAACGCTGCATTCATGGGAGAGGCTTGTGCTTCACTCGGACATGGAGGAGGGCGAGGAGGGTGCGAGGACGGTTTCGCACAAGCCTCCCCCAAAGCAGCAAACGACCACGACATATCAGGCAATCAATGGATGGCTGCTGCAACTGCTCGCGCACTTCGCGGTCAGAGAACTGAACATCTGCAGAGAATCTGGAGTCGCCTAGGATACGGCGCAAAACTCTCATGTAAACTCCGTTCAGCTTTCTCAGGGCATTCGGGGCAGGAACAGTAACAAAGACCGAGAACAGCAGTCTTGACATGACTAGCGTGTTCATGAAGCAAAGCTTGTGCGCTCTCGTCACACCCGGAGCGCCAAAGATCTTAGAGGACAGCGGGGCATACGCTGCCATCGCACTCGCACATCGATGAGAAGCATTCTTAAAGCACGACCCGTCTACACACGCGTGCGTGCCGAGATGTACATAGCTTTCTACAACGTCAATTGCGAGCTCGGGGCGGCCTGGAACCTTCAGATGCAACTTGCCATCGGAACACCGACGGGCCTCACGCAGCTTCACAGAATGGCGCCCTCGGTACTTTAGCAGGGCCTCCGTTTTTCCAGGCTTACAGTTGATGGAAAGATGGAGTCTCTCAAAGACCCCAACAAGTTGCTCGAGCAGAACATCGACGGCCTTGTCTAGGGCAGCCGCAGACGCAAACATCAAGACAAAGCATTCATCATCAACAAACGCCGCGTCAACTACTGAAATCGTCTCAGGCTCATACACTTAGGCCTGTGGGGGTGCCCAAAACGGTGACTCGGGAACAGAAAGACGGAGAGTGATATCTGCACGCTCGAGAATCCACGACATCAAGTCGAGGGCAATCGAGTACACTGCATTGAACGTGAGAGCGCCAAGCTTTCAGCCTTGCCCCCCCCCCCCGTCCGACTCGCCACCCGACTCCCCACCCCCGACACTCCGAACCACGCGCCAGCATGCAGAGACCGGCATAGGTCAGCAACCCCTGGGTCGATGTTCCACTGGGCAAAAAGGTGTCCGCGCTCCTCTAGGTACTGGAGGATCCAATCGGTCGCGCCATCGGTTACGCCCAGCCTCTTCAGGTGCGCCAAACGAGCAGCAGGGTCAGGGGGAGGGCGCGGCCCCCATCCAAACACTAATTCACGCAGCACTCGGTCAAACGCTTTGACCAGATCGACAAAAAGTACCACCACAGAGAAGTCACGCAAATGTGCTACCTCCGTGGCAGCACGGATGAGTAACGTGGCTACATCTGTCCCTCTCTTGGGAACAGCGCCGAACTGTGTGAGTGGCATGCGGTCAACATATGCGGGGTCCAAGTGGGCCTTCTGCATCCCTGCCAGGCCCTTGCCTGCGTGGTCAGCCAACATAATCCCACGACTACAATCTGGGTCTCTGGGGTACCCTTTCTTTTTGTACACCTCCTGAATGCGGCCGCCTCGCCATTGCTTCGGCCATGAGCCGTTCTGCCGCGCGCGCATGTTGACGGTCGCAAACTTGCAGGCAAGCGCATCACCACCTGCCTGGAGGAGCTCTGCTGGGATCAGGTCATAGCCAACACCCTTGTTGCGGCCAAGAGCCTTGAACGCAATGCGAGTGGCCTCTGGACCAACATCCAGGGCTGAGGGGGCGCTCCTCGGCGGGCGCTCAGGCTCACGGAGCTCGGCTTCACTGATGGGGGCGCCTCCGAGGACATCAGCGAAGTGCTCGAGCCAACGCCGTCGTGCAGCAGGAGGGTCTGACACCACTGACCCGTCCTTTGAAAAAAATACACGGTGTGGCTCGATGTCTGGTGCCGTTCAGCGCTCTCACAATAGCATAGGCCTGCCTTGGATCGTGCTCACTGAGAGCAGATGAGGCGGCCAGTGCCATTGAGTCTAAAAAGGCAGCACGGTCACGCTCAAGAATGGGCTTGGCGCACCACTGCAACCAGAAGATTGTGGCATGGGCCACAGCTCCCTGCCAACGGTATTTACGCATCAATGTGTCCTGGTCAACTGCATGGCCGAAAAGGAACCATGGTCGAGGCCTCTCTCGACACCGTGCACGGACACTTAAACATGCTACTGATTGCCAGGCTGCAATGCACATGCGCTGAAAGGCTGCTCGCTCCTTCAAGAGCGCTGCGTGCCTCGCGCGACGCAGAGGGGCTACGTGCCGGATGAAATCCCACACCTGGGCACTGATCCACCTCTGTCGCGGCTGCCTCTTCGAATCCCCCAAGACAAAGCGGCCTGCCCAACGCACGTAGGTGTTCAGCAGCTCGAGGTGGTCGTCGATGTGCATGCCTCCGTCGATGCGCGGGAAGCGCCACATCAGCTCCTGAGAAAAAAAAAAAAAAAAAAAAAAAAAAAACAAAAAAAAAAGGTTCACGCGAGACGGCTCCACCAAGTGAAGCTTGTTGAGTCTGAACGGGGGAGTCGAGCGTGTCGCCGACGGCATTGACCAAACCTTGGTAGCCATCACCACAGCGTTGTGGTCAGCCCATGCATTCATGGTCAAGTCAAGGGAATAGTCTGGACGAAAAAACTCGACATCGGCAAACTGCTCCACAGGAACAAAAATGAAATCGATGAGGGCCTGCGGGCCGTACGATGATGTCCATGTATGGCCAGCATCTGGGCCCCACGTATTGGCGATCATCATCTGCTGCTGCTCAGCAAACTCGCGCACATGCGTGCCATTGGAATTCTCACAACTCGGGGCTGTCGTGCCTATCATTGGAGATGAAACTGATCCAACACGTCCATTCGTGTCTGCACACACATACCATGGGATGGAATAGGCCTTCCGAAGTGCGGAGACCTGGATGCCAACAAAGTCCCACCACGCAGCGCGATCAGCTGGGGGGGGCCTGAAGGTGTGGAGCATGAGCCGAAACGATACCGAAGCCGATACCCTTCTTCGACAGGACAGCAAACATGGAACGTGCAGAGGGCGCCTCCCACGTCTTGACGGTGAGCCCATGTCGTGCCCAGATCTGCACTCCACAGGACCCATCCTCACAGGCAGCAGCGCGCATCATGGTGTAGATCGCGCCTTCTTTGCTGACTGACATATCCGCGCGGCCCTCCTGCAGCGCAATCACATCTAGCTCAGCTTCACAAAATTGATCCTCGAGCAACTGTACTTTGCTCAACACACATGCATTCGCAATCTTAGCATACGAGCACTTCTCCTGCCACGGAAGAAGTGTGTTCACGCTGGCTGATGCAATCGTCACGCTACAGCACCGCCGACCTTGCTTTTGATAGTGATAGGAAACCCCGAGGCCGAGACGGTGCATTTCGGCTTGTCGCCTATCGTCTTGCGCACAAATCCGAAGTGAGTGAGAGGTTTTTGCTTGCCTTGCAAGCGCCTGATGGGGAGGGGGCACCGGGTGGGCAGTCCCATCCATTGGAGGTTGCTTGCCCTCCATGCGCCTTGCAGGCTCTGCCTGCGCAGCCTCGACGCTGTGGGCCAGCTCGAGGGTCACCTTGAACTTCTCGAACAGCTCCTTGGACTGCTGCGTGGCTTCGTCGATCGCTGAGGGGTTGATCGCCGAGCAGGACTTGAGCTCGTCGACCGCCGCCGCAAGGATCGCCTCCAGCTGGTCCATGTCGGGCCTGGTTGGCTGAGCGCTGGCATCGCGCCCTGCCGCGCACTCGATCTCTAGCTGGCGGACGTCCTCGCGCAGCTTCACCACCTCCTCCGACGCAGCAGCCTGGGCAGCCAGCGCCAACTTGACGCTCTCGTCGGCTGCCTGGTGGCGCTTGATCGCGCGCTCCAGGGCCGCGCGGGCGCCGTCGAGCCGCTTCCCCACAGGCTTCGGTGGGGCCAGCTCGCTGAGGGTCTTCTTCTTCTCCGCAATCTGCATCACGATCGGGCTCCCAACTGCATCTCCATGGCCCTCGAGGGCCGAGAGGGCCTTCTCGAGCTGGGCAATCGAGCTCTGCAGCTGCTGCCTCGTGCGGGCATTGGGCTGAGCTGGCTCGACCTGCATGGCCACGGGCTGGTCCTCTGCTGGCGGCGCTGGCGGGGCCGAAGGCAGAGGGGAGGTCATCGTCGTCGTCATCGAAATGCCAGCCGTGGCCCGCTGGAGTTCGGCGGCAACCTCGGCAAGCTGCTGGCTGACGGGGTTCTGGGAGGGGCCATGGGGCGCACTGCTCGATCCTCCTGACAGTGCTGACTTGGCCACCTCCGCGAACGTCTTGCGCATGCCGCACGTGCTGCATGCATTCTTGGTCCAATTGTTCGACTGGCATCCGCTGCACACCCACAGTCTAGACGGAGGTTTCTGCCCACTTCCACGTTGACCGACGAAGTGCAACTGGCCACTCGGATCTTTCTTCCACTCGTCCGATACAGGCGAGGAGGAAGAGCCTGCACGTCCACTTTGCCACGACCATGGCGCCATTCACTCTGCTCACAGAGATCTGGGGAGGTCGAGACAGGGGCGTAAGCTCAAACTCCAGTGTAGGCTTACAGATCAGCTCAAGAATCAGGGCTGGCTCAGCCGCGGGCGCTTGAGCATCGCCTCCACCGGATATATATAATATATAATATATTATATATATATAATATATATAATATATATATTTATATATATATAGTTCCGCCGGCCCCCTTGTGGGGCCACCAGGCTGTAGGCGCGGGTTCGCAGTTTCCAGTACCAGTTGTAGCTTGTAGTTTCCAGTGTTACAGTTCTGCTTCTTGCTGGTTACTGTAACTAGTTGACTTCTTGCTGGTTACTGTAACTAGTTGATTGACCGCGCGCGGGGGGGGGAGGCCCAAACGGCATTTTTTGCACCCCCTGGGCGCGTTGTCTGAATTGCTGGGGGGGCTCGAAATCGACACCCCTCACGCAGATCCGCGGGGTCAGGGTCCAAAAACACAAGGGATTTACCACATTTCTGAAATTCGGTGCCACCCCTCACGCAGATCCGCGGGGTCAGGGTCCAAAAACACATGGGATTTGCCACATTTCTGAAATTCGGTGCCACCCCTCACTCAGATCCGCGGGGTCAGGGTCCAAAAACACATGGGATTTGCCACATTTCTGAAATTCGGTGCCACCCTTCACGCAGATCCGCGGGGTCAGGGTCCAAAAACACATGGGATTTGCCACATTTCTGAAATTCGGTGCCACCCCTCACGCAGATCCGCGGGGTCAGGGTCCAAAAACTCAGGGGATTTGCCACATTTCTGAAATTCGGTGCCACCCCTCACGCAGATCCGCGGGGTCAGGGTCCAAAAAACACATGGGATTTGCCACATTTCTGAAATTCGGTGCCACCCCTCACGCAGATCCGCGGGGTCAGGGTCCAAAAACACATGGGATTTGCCACATTTCTGAAATTCGGTGCCACCCCTCACGCAGATCCGCGGGGTCAGGGTCCAAAAACACATGGGATTTGCCAAATTTCTGAAATTCGGTGCCACCACTCACGCAGATCCATCGCAAGGCGTGGTTTGGTAACCCAAACTGCGAGAACTCCCTCGGCCCTTTAATCGCAAGGCGTGGTAACCAAGACCTAAACCATACACGTCCAATCGCCAGGTGTGGGTAACCCCTCTTGTGATCAGTGGTTTTGCTGATGCGACTCGGCTTCGCATGAAGTTTTCGCGATACTCCTTCACGACAGCGCCAAGGGCCTCTGGGACTTCGCTCTCCATGCCCATTCTCCGAAGGAGAGGGGGCCCGGCGGCAGGGGGCGAAGCCCTACGGAAAAATGTGACGAATATCAGTTTGATTGCCGACGCTATATATATGTATATAGAAGATAGGTATGGATATGGAATATATATATTTATATATATATAAAGTGTCGCGGGGGGGCAAAAAGTAGGACCCGAAATAGACCCGTGCGCATCGCGGCACGACGTCGAACGAGGGCGCTCGGGGCCCCCAGAGGCCGGAAACGGCCGAAAATCTCTGGTCGCGATTCCTTTCGCGGCGAGGGGAGGTGGATTTGACCCCCTTGAACCTCTGACCTGACGTCCCCTCCCCCAAAAGTTGCCCGCTAACGTTGCCCCCGTGAAAAGTGCCCCCGAAAAAAGTACACAAAGAGAAATGAAGAAGACCTGGAAGGCAATATACAAGAAGGAAAAAGAGAAATGGTATGAAAAGAGTGAATAATGAGAAAATAATCAGCATAATCACGCATACTAAAAGAACTCTACCATACTATCCCCTCATAATCCTAATTCAAATCACCGTACTAATCATGAATCCTAAAGAATTGTACAGCCTAATAATATCTAGAGGAAATAATAAAGCCTACTAATACTAATAATAATACATATATCAACAGAATACCTCTTGCATCCTACTAATAACGAGGCACGTAAGACCCTCACCTACGCATCGACAGAGGACTAATATTACGCAGTAGACATCAGCCTCCTACTACAGAAAATCGTAAGGCATAATCAATCAGCTGTGTTTTCGCATCCGGATCCCCGTTTGGCCACTCCAAGCATATCGCCGCGGCATTGTAATACTGCTTTGTGGACATGTTCGAGTTCGCTCCCGTTCTCCTCCTCCACGGAGGGCCCTGGGGTCCCGCTGGGCACGGGCCCGCCCCGCCGGCTGCCCTCTGCGTCGTCCCCTCCGCCTCCACCCCCCCCCCCCCCCCCCCCTCCTCTCCCCCCCCCCCCCCTTTCCGTGCTGGGCGCCCGCTTGGACGGGCCCGCAGTGGGAGCGGCGTCGGGCGCCGGCGGGTGCGCCGCCGCCCACCGCTCGCCGCGGCCGCCCCGCCGCGCTGCAGCTCCTGCCCCGGCAGCCGGAGTCCCGCAAAAAATCTCCTCCTCCTCCTCCCTCCTCCTCCTCCGCCTCCTCCTCCCTTTCCTTGTCTCCTCCTTTTTTCGTTCTCTGCTCCTTTCCTCGTCTCCTCGTCCCCTCATCCTCCTCCTCCTCCTCCTCCTCCTCCTCCTCCTCCTCCTCCTTTCCTCGTCTGCTCCTCTTTCCCACACATCTGGCGTCCCTCAGAAATGGCGGGTTTGGGCAGTTTTCGGCCTCTCAGGGCCCTTGCCAGGCCTCGGGGCCGTCAGAAGACGACTCGGGATGAAGTACCGGTCCCAAG